TGGGGTTAAGAGGAAACGTTAAAAGCAATACCTAAAGCAGGGGTGCCCAAACATTTTCCCTGAAAGGGCCAAAAAAAACATTTTCCCCGAGAGCGTTAAAAATATTTATTTTCCCTGAGAAGGCCAAAATTAAAATATTTTCCCTGAGGGGGCCAAAAATTAAAATCAATCTGAGGTCCACGGGCCAAATGCAATAATGTAAGAAATGCAAACACTTCTTAAGTAAAGTTGTTTCATTTTTATGATTAAGCTAGCAGTGGTTGCCCACATTCTTTTTTGTTTTTCAGCCCATGGACATGGAGAAAATTCAACGTATGCTCAGGCAGAAAAGGCTCATGGGACTTTTCATACTTTGGACGGGGTGTGTGGGGTGGTGGGTGGGGAGGTGCGCTCCGGGATGAAGAAGTTCAGCTTAAAGACACGTCCCAGAGGTGTTTCTGGTGTTTCTGGTCCCAGAGGTGTTTCTGGTCCCAGAGGTGTTTCTGGTCCCCACCTGTCGTTTTGCTCCTCAGCATGGCTTCATAAAAACACTGCAGGATTTCTCAAACATGATGAATGAGTCAGAGCAAGGCTTTGGACATGTTTTTATGAGAATATAACATTATAACGTGATATACTGTAAAACTCAAAAAAGTTGATTTTACATGATATTGACCCTTTAATCCTTCATTCCGGCTTGTTATTGTTTAAAAAAATACTATCCTGATAAACTGCACCTGGATAAAGCGAATTTAATTGTGGTTTGATGAGAAGTATTTACCATTCTGACACCGTATACACAATCCATCACAGCTGCACGCATTTTAAATAATGTTTATTTATTTATTTATTTATTTATGACAGGTCACCTTCTAATAAATGTATTTTGGAAAATCTAAACACTCACTTGTACTCAATACTTTTACTTTTGATACTCAAGTACAAAATAAATCAGACACTTTAGGACTTTTACTCAAGTAATATTCTTAGAGGAGACTAACTTTTACCAAAGTAATTTTATGAAAAGATACTTGTACTTCACTCAAGCATCACTTTAAGGTACTTTATAAAACACTGCCTAAAACACAAGGAGGTGTAAAGGTTTATAAAGTAGATTAAAAATAGTTTTGAGATTGGTGCTTTTGATGGCTCCTAACCAGGTTTAAATCAACTCTATCTGATCAGAGTCAAACCTGCTTCTCCAAACATTTGTTGTGTTTTGGCGCACTGTATTTTATCTTATTTGTTATAACCTTTTAAAAAAATTGTATATTTGTTTTTGAACATTTGAACTTTTTTATTATGTCTTTGTATGTATATGTACTATGCACTTGCTGTAACATTAATTGTCCCTTTTGGGACCTGAATAAATCTGAATCTGAGAGGTTTTTCAACCATCTACTACAGTTAAACTGTTCCCAACCCTTCCACCAAAACTTTACTTCTAAATGTTTAAACTATTCATTATATCAACTTCTTTATTTGTTTTTCTTGGAAGTTAGACGTAGTTTTGTAGTTCTAGTAAACCAAGTCAAAGAAACTTGCCTTTAAGTTTTGAAGTTTTTGCTTGTAATTAAATGTATTTTTTAATTAAAATGATTGTGAGTAAATGAACACAAACTAACTGCTGCTTTTTAACATCATGGCCAGGGGACTACAGATGAAAAATGGCCGTTTGGCTAATTCTGGCTTTTTTAACTTATGAAATGTCATATGTTTTATTAAATTGCACTGTCCTATTTTAAATAAATAATAAATAAAAATAAAATATCGTCTTCATCGCAACACGTGATTACTTCAGACGAGGCTATGCAACAAGTGATTACTTCAGACAAGGCTACCCGACGCGTGATTATGTCAGACGAGGCTACGCGATGCGTGATTACGTCAGACGAGGCTACGAGACGCGTGATTACGTCAGACGAGGCTACGCAACATGTGATTACGTCAGACGAGGCTATGCAACATGTGATTACATCAGACGAGGCTACGCAACACGTGATTACGTCAGATGAGGGTACGCAACGCTTGATTACATCAGTCAAGGCTACGCAACGTGTGATTACGTCAGATGAGGCTACGCAACACGTTATTACGTCAGACGAGGCTACGCAACATGTGATTACATCAGACGAGGCTACGCAACACGTGATTACGTCAGATGAGGGTACGCAACGCTTGATTACATCAGTCAAGGCTACGCAACGTGTGATTACGTCAGATGAGGCTACGCAACATGTGATTACGTCAGACGAGGCTACGCAACATGTGATTACGTCAGACGAGGCTACGCAACATGTGATTACATCAGACGAGGCTACGCAACGCGTGATTACGTCAGACGAGGCTACGCAACATGTGATTACGTCAGACATCAGAGACAAGCTTTGCGGTAGTAAACAGGAAGTGAAACTTGCTAACTAGCAGAGGCTAATCATCTCGGGACAATGGAGCGATTTTTTTGTGAATGTCTTACTATTGGGCAAGTTGTAATTATTCTATCTATTCAGCTAGTACAGGCTATGTTAAACGCTGCCAGGAGACGTAGGGAAATAAACGCAATGTTTTCATGCATTTATGCTAACATCTGGGATGAGGCAGGGAAGCGGAAACAGCTGAACGTCACGTGAGGTAAATATACACTCTGTCAGAATTTATTCGGCAAACGTTTCCATCTCCCGTTTTGCGAATTAACTACTTTGTGAATCATCCAAAAACCACCTGAAGCGAGCGTAAAAACTTTTTAGCGAATTGAAGATTTTTTTTTCCGAATTTTGCTGTTTCCATCTGACTTTTTTTTTCCCCATTTTTAATGCGACACTTCTGAATGTGCATCAAAAAGCCTTGATGGAAACACGGTTACAGTCAGTGGTGAAGAAGAGCTGAGCTCAGCGCAGAGCGAACTAACTAATGTCATCAGTGTTTCTAATACTATTGTGCAGTTCTCCCAGGCTAACGGGCAACATGTGGTGTCCAGTGCTGAAGGCCTTTTATGAGCTGAAAGCCCTGAACCAGACGTTTGGACCAACTTTAGGTCTAATCTTTGATGTGGACAAAACACACAATCGCTCTGAGCCTGCTGTGACCTGACCGGGAGGGACCTATTGTTGCTCTTCCCACAAAAGCCCAGTGATCATGTGTGCATATATGCATGTGTGTTTGAGTCGTTGTGTGTCTGTCTGTGTGTGTGTGTGTGTTTGTGGAGGGGGGGTACTCTCTCATGCTCTCACAATACTCCATTGTCCTTTCAAACCTCCACAGTAATTTATGTAAAGATTCTCTCCTTCCGTCTCATCCATGGCTTTTGTTGTTCATT